ACACTGATAAGGCCCAATCAGTTCATTGACGGTGGGCTTCAGTCTTTCACACAATACGCTCGATAAGACCTTGTAACCTATGCTTAGAAGGCTGATCCCGCGGTAGTTGGCGCGAATGGCGGGGTCACCTTTCTTGTGGATTGGGCAAGCATGAATCAATTGTGAACAATGTTCTCCTATGTTTCTTAACCGGTTCGAATGGTTGTTGCTTTGCAGGAAAAGTGTTTTGTAGGAGGAGTGCACATAGTTTTAATTTTTCCAATAGGTGGCGAAGGGGTCGAGCTATGCTAAAAAATCGCATTTATGGTCTGATTTTCTTCAAACGCGGAATACATAATGGATAACATATTCGATAGAAAAACGATAAATAACGATAAGAAAATCAATAAATATCGATAACAAAATAGTTGAAAATATCGATAACAAAATCGATAAACATATCTATTATTATATCAATAAGTTCCGAAAATATCGATAGCGAAATTGATAACAATATCCATAAAAATTTCGATAAAAAAAATGGTTAAAAATATCGATAAAAATATCGATAGCAAAATCGATATAAATATCCATAACAAAATCGATATTAAAATCGATAACAAAATCGATAAATATAGATAAAAAATCGATAAATAGCGATAACAAAATCGGTAAATATCGATAACAAAATATTTGAAAATATCCATTACAAAATCGATAAAAATATCGATAACAAAATCGATAAACATATCTATTATTATATCGATAAGTTCCGAAAATATCGGTAGCAAAATTGATAACAATATCGATAAAAATTTCGATAAAAAAATCGGTAAAAGTATCGATAACAAAAATATCGATTATTTTATCGTTAAGTCCCGAGAATCCCGAAAATCTCTAAAATCCCAAAATAGTTCCCAGATTGAGTGTCTGTGTCTCTCTCTATATCCTTTCCTTTTTAATTACCTTTATTTTAATCTTTCTTACCCTATCTTCATCTTTACTTCTATCAGTATCCTCTTCCTCCTCTTTGTCTTTACTTACTTTACTGGTTATCATGTTCTTCATCGACATATTCCCCTTCACCTTTGCCCTTACATACCTATATTGGAAATTATAGATATATTCCAAACGCCACTGTGACGTGTGTGACTTGACTTTGTGACGGGTGTAACAAATTGAGGATGAATACACAAATACCCATTAGTAGGCAACTAAACTAACTTTATTTCTCAAAAAATCGGATTTTACAAACACATAACAGATTATGTCACCTAAGGACGCGATAATCCTTGATCGGACTCTTTATGTCCACTGGCTGTCTGAGTCACAGGAAAGTACCTTATTTTTAAGTAGTACTATACTGTTCATGAAGCTGTTACCTTTCAAACCGTATGAGATACTGTCTTTACCTTGACAAGTGAAGTAACGTTGTTTTTTTGTATCCGTGACATCATAGCTTAACTTTCCCATTCCTCGAGCAACAACATATCTTTATGATTAGCTTTATCATCGGTGATCACAAGCAGATATATGAACCATTTCAGATCAGTAGATAAGTAACGGTAACAGTTCCTGGCCGAATTTATTAAAATTTGTCAAATTTGTTAAATTGAGACGGGTGACCAACATAATCGTTTTTTTTGTTTTTTTTTTTTTTTAACAAAAGCATATAAATACTTAAAAGCAAATTCGCACATATTCGCCTGTGTCATAGCGTTACTTAAGAAAATTAACCTCTCATATGAGTTTGTAACTGGTATAACCTAAAATAAAAAATATCTGATTTTGAGATAAAATTCGATCGAAATTTTTCCATATAGATACAACAAACATAATACACCTTGTAAAAACCAAACAAATTAACGGTGTATCTAATCTAATTGTTAATTGTTAATTATATGTGATGTACATTTAGTACTAAGTTTTAGGAGAAAGTATTCCCCATTTTGCGGTGACTCAGATCAGATAATAAAAAACGGGGATTTCGCTAATTTTTCCATCATCAT